GCATCCCTGGTGTGAGGCCCCAGCCCCTTTCCATCGCTTTCTTCCCACGCACTCTGCTGTATTACTTTACCATTTTGCTCACTTTACTTTTTTGTGTGTGTGTGTCAGATTTGCTTCATTGAGGCTTAGAGCACACATAATCAAAAGCACAACTCCAGGTCCTCCTCCACCCCTGGGTTTTCACGTCCATGGACATCCAGGAAGATGTCTGCCACCAGCCAACACCTCACCTGCATTCCAGCAGCTCGTGTGAGGGGGCAAGGGGCCGGCCAGGCTCTGCCTCCTGGGCTGGGCTCCCACCACAGCGCCCACCAGCCCACTGGCACCTTCCTGGAGCGGGGCCAGCCCATCTCGGTCCCCACCCTGCCTCGGGGGCTGGCTCCAGAGCTTCAAGCCAAGTGACCGGGAAGGAGACCCATCGGACCCCACAGCAGGGCGAGGGCTCCCAGCCGGCTGGATGCCAGCATGCTCTGACTGTGGCTGGTGGGTCAGGTTCCAGGGGAAGCAGCAAGACCCCTCCCCAAGACCAGGCCCCAGGGCAGCCCAGACCAGGCTTACCTCTGCCCCTGGCACAGACAGCCCTGGCCCAGGCTGCCAGTCTCTGCAGAGCATCACGGACCTGACTTGAGGACCCGGGACAGGTGCCGTTTGGGCGCAGCTGGCCACCCAGGCCTTTCCCTCGCATCCTCGGTTCCCCCAGCAGGTGGGGGCGGCTCCTCTCCCCGAGGGCCCTGTAGGGATGAGGCTTCAACAGGAAGGCTGCTGGCCGCATCTGGATGGGGAGCAGGCCAAAGGCCATGCCATCGTCCCCCAGGAGCAGACACACACGCAGGGCAGAGCCCTCTTGGCGCTGCTCCCCCAGGGCAGGGGCATGGGACTGTCCCCCTGTCTGCACCTATGTCTAGGAGGTGCCCCTGCCGCTCCCCCCCCGGGAGAAACACGCAGGACGCCTGACCGACACGGAAGCACAGACACTGGGCAGTGGTCTCTCTCTCCACGTGCTGCCTAGACAGAGGGGCACGCAGGGTGCTGGTGGCAGCAGCACAGTTCTGCCTGTTACCTGTGACCCAAGGGAGGCCTCTATAGGACCCTGACCACCCGCCTGGCACCATGGAGATCCTGTTCAAAGCCCTGTGAGGAGGTCCACTTATCAGCCCATTTTATTTTTGTTTGTTTGTTTCTTTGTTTTTCTTCTGGTACCAGGAATCGAACTCACGACCTTGCACTTGCCAGGCAGGTGCTTTGCTGCTGGCTAAATCCCCAGCCCCTCATCAGCCCATTTTACAGAGCAGGAAACCGAGGCCAAGAAAGAGGAAGTTATGCTCCCAGAGCCAGCAGCTTAGGTGAAAGAGGAGGGGTCTGAACCGTGCTGAGGGCTAACAGGGGACTCAGGACTCTGGAGCTCCTCACTTTCTTTTTTTTTTTTTTTTTTCCGGTACTGGGAATCGAACTCACAACGTTGTGCTTGCCAGGCAGGAGCTGTGCTGCTGAGCTAAATCCCCAGCCCCCTGGAGCCCCTCACTTTCCACACCCTGGAAAGGTCCAGCTGGGGGCCACAGAGGAAGGTGTCCCAGAGACTTTTTTTTTTGTCTTTTTGAGACAGGGTCTCGATATGCAGTGCAGGCTGGCCTTGAGCTCACTTTTGTAGCCCAGGCTGGTCTTGAACTCGCAATGATCCTCCTGCCTCAGCCTCCCGAGTGCTGGGATTACAGGCAGGCGCCACCACGCCCGGCAGGCCCAGAGACTTGCTGAGCACCTACCTCCTTGGAGCTTTGCCTGTTCTGAGCACCAGGCCAACCAGGTGTGGCAGCTGCCAAAACATGCCCCGAGGAAGACGCTTGCTGGGCTCAAAGGCCAAAGTAGAACGTGACTGAATCCAAATTCCCGCCAGGTGAGTCGCCTGGGCTTGTCCCACTCCACCCGTGCCACCCCCTTCTTCAGGTTCCCACCCTACTGAGCTCTTTGGGCCCCACTGGAGCCCCGGGCCCGTGGGCCCCACAAGGCCAGAGAACAAGGCCCCTTGGGCCACACCCTCCCTACTGGGCCCTCCGGACCCTCACCCTCCTCTGGGTGTCTCCCCTGGGCCTGGGCAGTAGTGGACTGAGCTGGAGGACCAGCCTGCCCCCTGCCAGTGCCTGTGCCACGCACTGGGCCAGGGGCCCTGAGGAGGATGGGCTGCACTCCTGGCCACTGCCGGCCACCTGCTGTGCTGCTGGGGACCCGCGGGGGCAGGCTGCAGTCCGTGAGGGCGGCCTGTGTGAAAGCACCTCATCCCCCAGGACTTCCCAGCCACCACGTGCTCCTTGGGCTGCTGCTCCCTGCAGGTGCTCTGCCCTCTCCTCCGGGAGCTGCACGGCCAAGCACCAGCGGGTACCAGGTGCCACTGGAGAGGTGAAGTTTGGAGACTCCCTGGACTCAGCCAGGAGGGCCTGAGTCCGAGCCAGGCCTGCTCCTGCCCCACCGTCCGGCAGGCCAGGGCCCGTGCAGCCCCACCCCAGCCACTGTCCCTAGGTCTGAGGGAGCCCTGCCCCAGAGCCAGGGGCTGCTCTTGACAAGCATGGGTTCCACAGGGACTCACTGAGCACCTCGTGTCCAGGCCTTGAGGAGGTACAGGCGACCACAGCATGCAGGGCAGGTTGCATCTTCGGAGGTCTGAGGAGGGGTCTCGTGGCAGGGAGGGTGGCCAGGACAGGTGACCATGTCGGAAGACTTTCGTGGTTGTCACTACCAGGGTCAGTGCTACTTGTCTCCAGGAGGCAGAGGTCAGGGCTGTGGCTGTGGGCACCTGTAGGGCCCAGAATGTCGACAGTGCCCTCTGGAGGTGTTTCTGCTGTTTTCGTGTTCGCTTTGTTTTGCGCTGCTGGAGCTGGGGGTTGGACGCGGGGCCACCTCGTGCATGCTAGGCGAGTGCTGTGCCCTGGTGGAGGATCCTGACATGCCGCGGCCCACAGGAAGGGGCAGGCAGGGAGCCCCCTCTGAGGAGGGGATGTTGTCTTCAAGGGAACAGACCTGAGGTGGCCCGGTCTCTCCCCATCTATCGCCCATGCACCGTGTGGAACAAGTGTTGGCCGTGATGGGGAGGCAGGCCGAGCGGGCAGATCAGGCACCAGCCCAGTGCCAGGCAGGCCTGGGGCATTCCAGGAGGGAGTCCCCCTCCCCCAGCCCAGGCACATTCCTCCACTTGGGTGGGCAGGGGTGGAAGCGGCGCATTCCTGCTGGAGGAGGCCCAGCTTTGCAGCCCTCTTGGGGGACCAGATAACCTCTGTCGGCTCAGGCTGGGCTTGACTTAGTGACGCTGGAGTGGGGGTCTGCTGAAGACACGCAGGTCAGCACTGCTGGGTCAGTGTGGTCATGCGCTCCCCCGTGAGGACGCTGCTGGGGATTGGGAGGGAGCGCCCAGCCGACAAGCAGGGGGAGATACCAGCCTGGTCGGGCAGCGGGCAGAGCTTGCCTGGCCAGTGTGCGGCTGGGACAGTGTCACCCGGAGCCTCCGAGTCGGGTCACTCACAGAGCAGTCCCTGGTAGCCTCTCCAGGCCTCAGTCTGGGAACCGGGGTGAGGAGGGCAGCTCCCCCTGGTGACTGAGGAGCATGCAGCCGGTGCACAAAGCACTTGCCCAGCGCCTGCCTCGGACGCAGCAGGGGCAGCCCAGCGGCCCCTGGGCTCCACTCAACAGGTGGCCACTGAGCCAGAGCGCCCGAGTCAGGAGTGAAGACAGAGGCGGGAAACACAATCTGCCACCGCGCCCAGGGGACTCAGGGGCGGTCTGGCTGGGCATCACACAGCAGGCCCAAATGGACACTGAAGCAGGCAGAGGTGGATGATGCGGCGTCCCAGCCCTGTCCTGGTGGCTTCTTCCCCTGCCTTCTTCTGAGAGCGAGCCCAGCAGGCCCCAACTCCTGACCTGGCTGCTGGAGGACACCTGACCCCTACCAGAAGGGCCCCGGATGGACCCCATCACCCTCTGCCCTGGTGAAAGCATTCCAAGTCTCTGCGTGTTTATATTCCCTGGAAATATTTCCCCAGCAGAGCCATAGGACAAATATTTTGTTAATGTTGAAACTTGGGCAAGTAGGGCCCGGAGCCGAGCCCCTCCCTGCCCCTCCGCGTGGGCAGCGGGCCCAGCTGGGATCAGAACCCGTTCACCTGGCCCACCCCTCTCTTCCCAGCCAACCAAGGCAGAGCTGGAGGCTTTCCAGCCTGGCCAGAGCCAGCACCTCGAGCTCTGTGGAGCCCACCTGAGACGGCACCTCCCTTTGGGGTGCGGGGGGACCAGCACTTCGGCACTCTGGAACCCCGCTTGGTGGGACGGGGTGACAGCAGATGGAAGTGGCTGGGGTGTCACTTGGTGGTCTCAATGCCGGGGACCCAAGGTGCCCCCACCCCACTGGGGCTCCTGTGGGATGGGACAGGGTAGGGCACTTTCACAGCCAGGCCCCTGGGCTGCAGGGGACCAGGACGGCAGGGCTGGCTGGAGTCGGGGCAGGCAGGCTGTGTCTCTCCCTCCCAGTTCCTGGGGATGCGGCAGCGTCCTGCACTCCAGGCTTTCTGTTTGACGTCCAGTGTCCTGGCCTCACTGTGGCTCTGAGCATGGGTGCAGGCCTCTCCGTGCCTGGGGACAGGGCCCAGCTGGTGTCGGCAGGCTGTGCGGGTGGCCCACGGGCAGCTCCAGGATCCAGCCCGGCCACTGGCCTTGGCCCAGCTGACCTCCTTCTGACACCCAGGGGGGCTGTGGCCACGCGCATCCTGACTACCCGCCCCAGTGCCTCTGCGCAGAGCGGATCCTCAAGCTCCTCCTCATGGCAGAAGGAAACTGGGGCCTTCGAGGGCCGGGGCTCCTGTCTGGTGGAGGCTGCAGCCCCACCTGCTCAGCAGCTGGTGGACACCTGGCTCTTCCGCCCTTTGGTTTTGGTGACCAGTGCTGCGGTGGACGTCAGGGCACACATTTCTGCGGTTCACGGATTTACGTTTCCGGGCAGTGACCAGGAACAGACTGCTGGGTCATTGTGACTCTGTGTTCAATCATCGGAGGAGACTCCAGGCTGGCTGCCTCCGCCGCTGTGCCGCTCCGCACGTCCTCCAGACCAGGTCCTGGTCCCCGCGTCCGCTCCCTGACGGCCGCTGTCTAACTTCGTGGTCCTGCTCAGCAGCCGACTACGAGGAGCCCCCCGTGAACCTCAGGCGGCCTAAAACAGAAGACAGAGTCCTTGCCCACCGGTCCTACGCCCCGCTGCTGGCCACCCGCACCTGGCATGGGATGGGGCGCTGCTCTCCAGGCCAGGGCGAGGGTGAGGGCCGGGCACTCAGCCGTTGGCCCTGCTGCCCGGCAGCCACTCGGTGCTAGCCTGACACGCACTGACCCTGCCCTCCTCCGGGGCCCCTGGCCTCCACACAGTGGTGTGGGTCCGAGCATCTCAGCCTGACCCCCAGGGACAGGCCGCACTGTGCTCCCCGGGCCGGCGGCAGTGACAGCGCTTCACTGGTCAGCTGTGCTCTAACGCACTTTTCATGCAGAAAAATGCTCGTCAGGAGTCATTTTCCATCTTCACTGTCAACGGGAGAACATGATTTTTTTTCTTTTTCTTTTTCTTTTTTGTTTTTTATCTGGTACCGGGAATCGAACTCACGACCTTGCGCTTGCCAGGCAGGCGCTGTGCTGCTGAGCTAAATCCCCAGCCCCCAACTGGAGAACATGGGTTCAACTTGGGTTCAACTTCTCCAGTTCAGCTTGGGTTTTTGTTTTCTGTTTTGTTTTGTTTTTTTTTTTCCCACAATAGAGTCCAGGCTGACCCCGAACTCACTATATATCACAGGGTGGTCTTGTAACGGTCTCCGGGTGATCCTCCTGCCTCAGCCTCCTGAGTGCTGGGATTCGGGAGATTGCCACCACATCTGGCTCCACTGTCAACAGGAGAATTTAGCCCCCATCCCACAAGCATGAGGGCAGGGACACTGGTGTCCCTGCTGGGCCACTAGCCCCTGGAGCAGGCTACAGTTGGTATAATAAAATAAAGCAGCTGAATGGAGGAAGGACATTCGGAGGGTGCCGCCTGCTGTGGCATCTGAGGCTAAATGGTGGGAAAGGCGCAGCTGTTGGAAAGGCTGTGGTGCTGAGCACAGTGAGGCGAGGGCGGGGCCTCCGGGGGTGTGGCTGGGCTCTGAGCATAGGGCAGGCTGGGGAGGCCATGGGAAGCCCTTGACCATGGGGTAGAGGGGACAGCTGTGGGGCTTCCAGCCAGGCAAGAGCACAACTTGCTTGGAGAAGCCAGCTGATGTGACAGCTGTGGGTCCCTGGGACTGACCACCAGGTAGGGAGGTCCCCACCCTCCCCTGCCCTGCCAGGGGCAGCTGGCTCACTCTAGGCCAGGACAGGGCACAGAGCTGCGTCCTGACGAAGCGTCGGTTTGCAGGGCAGCTCGGCAGCCCCTGCCAGCTTGGTGGAGTGTGCCTTCCTGCCCCAGGCCACTGGGAACCTCAGCCACAGGGGCCAGGCCCGGCCCGGCAGTCCTACTTCTCTCTTTGTCTCCATCAGGGCCCGACCCTGGCACACAGCTGTGGACACAGCTGCCCTGGCATCTTCCCAGGCCATGAATCCCTCTTCTGTAAAGTAGGAGCGCCGCTTCCCTGCTGCCACCCGGGCCCACCTGCAAAGTGCACACAGCAGCAGTGCCCACAGCCTCCTGTTCGCATCTTGGGGCCTGGCCAGGGAGCAGCTCCAGAACATCGCACCCCAGCATGGCGACAACACGCAGACCAAGCAGGTGAGAGAGGCGGGCACTTCCTTGCCCCGTCATGTCCCCGGACCCTGGGGCAGCTGCAGAGCGGAAGCCTGTCACCTCGGGGGCCCAGAGCATCCGTGCTCTCAATAGCTGGCCGGCTGCCCAGCCCAGCCCTGGAAGGGGCTCCCCCACCGCTGGCTCCCCCACTTTGGGACCAGGACCCCACCCATGAGCCCGGCAGCTCTGGAGCAGCTGGCAGGGGAAAGAGAAATCGTCCCTGGCAGAGAGAAGCAGGGACAAGGGACAGAGAGCAGCTCAAGCTGAGGACCCCAAGGCAGAAGTCAGGAGGGAAGAGGGGCCGTCAGCTCAGAGCAGAGGCTGCAGGCCCAGGACGAGTTTGGAGCCCCTGGGGGCCCGTGTGTGCTCGGAAAGCCATGTGACTGTGGCGGGAGGGGCGGGCATGGGGTGGGGAGCCTGCTCACCCTGCTGCGATGTGGGATGTGAGGAGAGGCTGGGGAGCAGGTGTCTCCTTCCTGCCGGGCCCCAGCCAGCTGTCCCACAGGTGGTGAGAGGCTTCCCAGGCTAGCTTCCTTTACGAGACTGTCATTTGTGGAACACTGCAGGCCATCCGCTCCCGGAGCCCAGGCCCTGGCCAGGCTGCAGTTCCAGGGTCCTGCCTGGGCTCAGGCTCTGCCGGCTGGGCCTTTATGGGGGATAACATTCCTCCTGGGCTTCGAGGCCTCCTGGCCATATAAGGCTGCCTGTGGGCACCTCTTGGAGAAGCTCAGAGCCCTCACCCCCACCCCGCCCCCTATGGGAACCAGGGTTTGGCCAGGCTGGGTGGGGGAGGTGCCTGCTGCAGCCTCAGCCCCGTGGGAGGGGGGTGCAGGCGGGCGGGCCTGAGGCTTGGCCCGGGGTCTCTGGTGCCAGCAGCCTCCACTGCACTGGGAAGTCCCTCTGGTCTCCCCTAAGGGTCCAGGCCTCCGGGCTCCCCAGGGCTGCCCAGGCTGGGTCTTGCAGCAGAGAGGTAGTGGGGTGGGAGTGGGGAGGACTAGGGCAGAGGGTCCGAGGTTAAGTAGGGTAAAAACCGACGCTGCAGCAACGTGGAGAGCGGCATCAGACGCGGACACCGTCGAGATGCACTGGGGGATGGCTGAACAGGTCACTGCCCTTTCCCGGGGCCAGGAGAGTTGGAGCCCTAACTTCACACCCCAGTGAGGTGCTGGGAGGGGCCCTGAGGGGTCCCCACTTGGGTTGGGGTCCTAGAAGCAGCCTTGTCCCTGCAGGGATCAGCTTCTTTGTCCCCATCCAGGGCTCCTGGCCACTCATGCTGTCCAGTAGGCCTGGGAGGCGGGCACTTTCTTGCTGGGGTCTATCCCTCAGGCAAGGGCTGGGTGGGTGGGGTCCTCGGTGAGTGAAGGTGGAAGGGGGCAATGCCTCACCTGGATGCGGCCCCTCTTCGTGTCCCCCTGCAGGGCCTGTCTCTTGGGGTAAACCCTCCACCTAGCTCACAGCAGCCCCCTCCATTCTAAGATTTAGGAGGGAAGAGCAGGAAATTGGGGACAACACTGAAAGGTTCCTCCGAGCTGCTCCCAAGCGGCAGGGCTCTCCGCAGCCTGTCTGGGCCTGCGCAGTGAGGCTGGTGCCCACTCAGCTCCCTGCCCGCTGCTGGGCATGAGAGACAGACAAGAGGAGGACAGCGCAGACCAGCCGGTGGATGGAGGGCCACCAAACGGCCAGGGCAGGCGCACTCCTGAGGGGACTCACTAGAGAGGGCCCAGCAAAGCCGAGGGCCAAGTCTGCTGCTCCGGGAGGAGGGAGGAGGTAATGAGGCCGGATCCCAAATAACAGAGGGTAGGGGCTGGGGATTTAGCTCAGCAGCACAGCGCCTGCCTGGCAAGTGCAAGGTCATGAGTTCGATTCCCGGTACTGGAAGAAAAACCAAACCAAAATAACAACAACAAAAAAAAACCAAACACCAAATAAGAGAGGTTGGAAAGGGATGGGGGACCAGAGGGCACAGGCGGGGGTAGCGGGACTGTGGGGGCGCTGCAGGGAGTGTCTGGCTTTGATCCTAAGAGGAGGGGAGCCCCTTTGAGCTGGGAAGGGTCTGGCAAGACTTCTTCAGCCAGCCCAGGACCAGCCAGTTCCCAGTACCCAGCACCCTCCGGGGCCCAGGACAGCCTGACAACAGGGTCCTTCAGCTCATGGCGAACTTCACAAGCGGCTGGGGGTGGCAGACTCCTACATTCAGACAAACTAAGGCTGGAGAAGGAAGATGTCTGGGCTTGTGGTTCTGACCGTCACACTGACTGACCACGGCCGGGCGCACCACGAGGCCCCCACGTACGTACATGTGAGCGCCCAGGCACATACCTGGGCCAAGATGGAGCCAGGCCTGGGTCTCAGCCAGAAGAAAGCAAGTCAGGTGGGGAGAAGGGCCTGGGAACCACGGTGGGGAGGACAGGACCGCAGGTCGGGTCACCCGGATCTCCCAGTCCTGGGAGCCACCTGTCCACCCTGCCAGGCTTGACCCGCACAACAGCAGCTGCCCCTGGCACAGCCCACTCCACCTGGACAGGTGATGGCCTCAAGCCCCGGATTCAACCTTTATAATAAGACAGTGGCCAAGCTGGTGTAGGCGTCTCAGCACAGTGCCCAGAGCCAACGCTCTGAAAGCAATGAAATGTTGCACACAGTGGTGCACACCTGTAATCCCAGCACTCTGGGGGTCTGAGGCCGGAGGACTACAAGTTAGTGCTCAGCTTGAATAACTTCACCACTTAGACCCTGTCAGTGCAAAGGCCCTGGGTTGGTTCAATGTCCAGCACTGAAAAGAAGAAGAAGGAGATGGAGACGGAGATAAAAAGAAAAAATAAACAAAGAAATAAGAGCTAGGTGTGGTGGCACACTTCTGTAACCCCAGTACTTAAGAGGCTGAGGCAGGATTGCTGAGAATTCGAGTCCAGCCTGGGCTACATAGTGAGTTCAAGGCCAGCCTGAACTGCATAGTGAGATCCTGTCTCAATAAATAAATAAATAAATAAATAAAAAAGAAAAAGCAAAGAAAAAAAAAAGAAAAGAAAGAACAAACTAAAGAAAGGAAAGAATAAAAGAAAAAAAAGGTTGAAAGCCAGAAAAAAAACTAAAAAAAAAAAAAAGGACTGGGGATTTAGCTCAGCGGCACAGCGCCTGCCTGGCAAGTGCAAGGTTATGAGTTCGATTCCCAGTACCAGAAAAAAAAACTAAAAAAAAAAAGGTTGAAAGGTAAACCAGGAGCCTGCTGGGGGCTCACTGGCAGGCGGTGCCGCAGGTTGGTGCCCTGGGAGCGAAGCACCGCAGCAGGCAGAGGCAGGGAGCTGGTTTGGAGCCTCCAGAGCCTCCTCAGGCCAGGCGCCCCACCCTCATCCTCGCCCTATCCTCAAGGCAGGAGCCTGGGGACCCTTGGGAGGCTGGAGACAGGCAGCTCCCCGGGGTCTCCAGGGCCAGTCTCGGCCTCCGACTTCCAGCCCCCCAGCTCCCAGGCCCAGCCATCTCCCAGACTAGGGATGTCACCTGAAGCCTTGGTGCACTTTTTGGCCAAACAGTGGTCAGGAAGGCTGGAGGCTGTCACTGCCCCACTGGGCTTAGGAGCCAGTGAGAGCTCTCCTGGCTGGAGGTCCTCCTGGTGGCGTCCAGTCTTGTCCTCCTCTGTGAGGACAGAGCTGGACCACAAGTGGCTGCCAGAATCAGCCCTGCGTGGACTCCCAGTTCCTCTGCCCCACGGACCTGGACAGCGCTTCTTACTTCTGGCTCGCTGAAGGACTGGAGCAGCCCTGACAAAGGGAATGTGGCTCCAGGCTCCCAGGCCCTTTTCCCAGAGGCAAAGAGCGCAGTCGGAAGTCAGCGTCCTGAGACAGACCTCTGCCAGTGTGGGGTTGCAGGCACAGCAGGAGCAGCGAGAGTCCTGTTTCACAGCCTGGCACAGGAGAGCGCCTGCCCTGAGCATGAGAAGCTTCGGCACAGGATCTGCCGAGGGCCCCGCTGTCACTGGTGACTTTGCTCCGTTGTCACTGGTGACCTGCCGACTGAGGAGTGAGGAGCACCCCGTGTTCCTAGCACAGCTCCATAGAGTCTTGCAGGCCAAGGCCGGCTCCGGCTGACTCAGAGGCCTGTGTGGCACCATCCCCATGGCTGCCCAGCTGTGGTGCTAGGAAGGGGGCTGGCTTAGGGGCAGAGACTCTGCCCCAGGGCTGGGGACCATCTGCCAGACCCTTTTCCACCAGGAGTGCCACTCCCACTGCTGCCCACCCAGGCTCCCGTCACCCAGGGGCTGAGGGTGGGTGGGGACCTCGGGTAGTCTGACAGCAAGGTGGCAGATCCCGGTAGGACAGAGGACAAGCTGCTTCCCAAGTGCCCTCTCCTGGCCCCCTCCGGACTGGACATACCTCCCCTGTGGGTTTGGGATACAGCACTGGTGCTGAGCTGTCAGGAGTAAGGGGACTGCATTAGGGACTTGTGCCCCAAAGGCCCAACAAGTATGGGGGCCGCCCTGGCGTGACCGGCCCTGCTGGTCGGACCAACATGTGTGCCCCAACCCCCGCCAGACTGTCCAGCAGCGGCTGAGTTTCCTGGCGTGGAGAGGAGACTGGAGGCCTCGAGTCAGAGGGAGACAGGAAGAGCCGCTCACTGACGCTGGTGACTATCAGGAGCCTGGCGGGTCAGCAAGGGCTGGGGGTGTGCAGGAACGAATGCCCACCCCTGCCACTTTCCTGTGCCCACTTCAGACCCAGTGCCCCCTCCGCAGCATGGTGCGAGAGGCGGGGGAAGAGTGGACGGCTCCCAGCCCCAGTGCCACTCTGTCCTCTGCCCACTACATTCAACCCTGCCGGCGGCCAGTTGCTCCTGGGGCAGCTGTCGCCGGGAAGCAGGGAGTCCAGGGATTAACCCTCTGGGTGCTGGTGGCCCGGCTGACTCAGCGCATTCTCAGGCGGCCGCCCCTCCTCCTGCCCGGCCGGTGCCCTGGATGGCAGAGGCCTGGCCTGGCCTGGCCGCAAGGGGGCTCAGTGGACACTTAGCCCAACCTCTGCCCGAGAGACCCTCCCTAATGGGACTGTGAGAAAACCAGCAGGTTCTCAGGAGCCTAGCCGGACTCCGGGGAGAGGAGGCATCTCAGCCTGTGCTCCCCCAGCCTGTCAGGACCCCCAGCTACCAAGGGGGGCCCGGGGCCTGAGCACATTGCCCTGCGTGCATGTTGGGTGGGACCTCTGGGCAGCAGGGCGGGCAGGGCTGGCCAGTCACCCGTCTGGGGCTGCTACTGCCCCAGCTGTCCCTCCTCCGGGTCATAAATCAGCTCCAGTGACTCTGGGATTCCTGGATGTCTCCCACCAGCCTTCGGACTGCCCCTCCCCCATGCGAACCTTGCGCAAAGGGGAGCTGCCTCCTCTGCCCCGCCCTTAGGTGGGAGCACCAACCCTGAAGTTAGGAATTTCGGGGGAGGGAAGGTGGAAGGAGTGGAGGAGGGCGGCTCCCCAAGCCCATTGCCCAACTCCAAAGAGAAAGGGCCGCCCAGCGCCTTGGGGTTTGAGATTTGCTGGCGGCCAGGAAGACGTCCCCGGGTGCAGCCTTCTGATAGGAGCTGCGGGCTCAAGACCCCCACCAGAACCTGTCGGCCAGTACGCACAAACCCACTGGCCCCCAGCTGCCCAGGAAGCCCCTCGAGACGGGAGCCCCATGGCTCCTGTGGGACAGGGACCGAGGTGGCGGGGCTCAGAGGCTGGGGGAGCTGCCAGTCCAGCTGTTGCGGCCCCATCCTCACCCCCTGGGGCTTCCCTCGGGCCAGTTTGGCCCGGGAACACAAGGGAGGAGACCCAGGGGCCCAAGTCACCGAAAAGCAGAAATGGGGGTCAGAGTCCTGAGCTCCGCCGCTAGGACCAGCACTGTGTGCCCAGCGTGCCGGAGCCTCTCAGGCAGGGGTGTGGCCCTGCGCACTCGTCCAGGCCCACAGGTGCTCCAGGCACACCGGGGCACGATAGATGTGTAAGGAGAGCCCGGCCTGCCTTCCACTCTGACGGACCCAAGAAGCCACAAGCATCCCCCCGAGGACTGGGTGGGCGCCGGGTCTCCCCTCCAATTTCCCATTTGACAGTACAGTATTTTTAATACCAACTAGGGCAGGCAGGACCCAGCGGGGATGAATCTGACCTACCCCCAAAAGTGCGGGGTCCCCACATGGGCCTTCACGGTCCTTCTGCCGTGCGGCTCCCTCCAGGGCTCCCCTCAAAGGCCGCACAGGCTGGCAAAGTGCACCTTCCCCCCACACCGGGATGCGGCAGCTTGGAGGTGGGACGGTCGCCGGCCGCTGAGGGTGCCAGAAGTTCTGGGGACGAAGCGGGGAGCCGCGGGTGGGAGGCGAGGGGGCAGGCCGGGGCGCTGGGGCCCGGAGGCGCGCGAGGGTCCCACGGGCGCCGGGGAGGC